CCCCCGCCCCCAGCGCCGCCGCCGCCGCCTGCTCCTGCTGGTGCTTCTGTCCGTCTTCTCGTCTGCGTTTCTCTGGCCTCCGCAGGTGCGCCCTGGGCGCGGGACCTACGCGTGGCAGCAAGGGATGTATAGTGGCAGCGGTTGTAGGAAGGGGCTAGGCGCGTCCCTAATAATTTAAAAACAAGTCAGGCTGTGGAGAAGGAGAAAATATGTTTAACCCCTTAGCTTTTCTTTGTTGCCGTTCAATGCTACCCTCCTTTGAGGGCCAAATTTTCTTTGCTTTATTTTTTTGCAAGCCTGTCTGAATAGGCACGGTAGAGTCGAAACTGGAGAAATACAGGAATGGAAACTGCTGTTCCTTTGGATGAAGTGTTCCTGATGTTTTTATAACTATTTGTTGTAACTTGATCTAATCACTGATAATGTCAAAGTCAAAATATCTGAGCGGGAAAAAGCGTTATCAAAGGGCAGCTGAATGTAACGAGACATTTGCATTGCTTGGCTCTGAAAAATCAGAACTGCGTGTTCTGAGTTGTACTTCTCCCATTGTACGACTCCTTTCCTTCCTAATGGCACTGGACTGTGCTTCCCTGAAAGGTCAATAAATAACCTAACTGGATTTAAAAATCCTGTTTACACAAAAGATTGTGGAATAACTTTCCTGGGCTGAGCGTGAACTGAGCTAACTTAAATGCTTGGGAGCCCTCTGTGGAAGGGCTGCACCATCCTCCTGTCCTCCCAAGAAGGGCAGGGAGATCGGGATGAGTTCCCAACTGTGTGGGGTTAAGAGAAGGAAATGGGAAGAGAGACTGCTTGTTTCCTGACCTCATCTTTTGCTGCGTAACCTGATTCTTGTTGCTGGTCCTGTGTCTTAAAAGGTTGTCCTCATCCTCTGGAGTCCAGGATAAGATAGGATTATGAATACATCTCCCTAGCACTTCATTGCCCCTTTTGCCTCAGCTGCAGTATTAGCAAAAGCTTAAGTGAGGTCCTGAGTAACTTCGGAGTTTGTATAAACGTGAGTGATGCTGAATGTTCCCTAGGAGGAAGAATATTCCCAGGAAAAATGTGGCCTAGAAGGCCTCTGGGACAGAAGCCAAGAGTCTAATGAGGCCACCTTTTTTTCCTGTTAGTTTTAGCTTTTCCTCTTGGAGGGCGAGGGCTTAGGGGGCTGGCCTCAGCCAGCCCGGGGACCTCACCGTGCCCCAAGGGCACCAGCCTTTCCCCGAGACTCATCTGATCCGGGCAGCAGATCTCCTCACCTCAGCAAAGGCTGCTGCTTGGGGACGATGCAGGTGCTGAGTCTAGTTGAATCAGCTGCTTTCTTCTGGTTTAGCTAATAAATCTGTTTACCGCTGCTGGAGGCGATCGTGCTGCAGAGACGAGTAGCTCGGTGGCACCGAGGCGTAGGCGCTGGGACGAGGTCCAGCACAGCCGTCTGCGGGTACCAGCCAGGGACGCCCTGACGGGACTGCAGCTTCCCCGGCTGACAGCTCAAGGTATATCCGTCTGCTCCGGTTTCTTGTGCTCATCTTTACAGACCCTTCCTTCAGGTAGGTAAAATACTTCTCAAGTTACTGTGGAGAGAGCTCTGTTTTGGGCTGTATTCATAAGGAACAGTAGCTATTTAGTGCCTGCTTTCTGAGTGTGTCGTGCTGTCTTTTGCCTCTGCGTTCGTCTCTGTGACAAAAGCTGTAGCCGAGCTTAAAACTCCTCTCAGCAGGGAGACTGACACCCTGCCTAGCAAACTGCCACATGTCAGCCGTGCTGCGGTCATCGACTGTGTGCCTATGTGTTTCCAGCTGACAGCAAATACAAGGTTAATTTTCTTAGTTTAAATGGCCTTAAAACAGGATCTTCTCTCTTCTGCCTTATTCCTGTGCAAACAAATGTTTGTTGATGAGGCTTAGATAACAAGACTGCATGTTTGGTAACTACTGCCTGTTTGGAAATACTCTGTAACTTGGGTAAAACCAAATTGCGGAAACGGAGGCATATCGTCATTGTTTGAGACCTAATTTTTTGGAGACAAATTGGGCAAGTACTTGAGTCTGGGTTTGCAGCAGTTGCTGGCAGAGTTCAGTACTGTGGGAGCTGGAAATGCATGGGAGGAAATCGGAGTTCCCGTTATGACATGGCAAATTGGATGCAGCCAGTAACGTGTCCTGTCTTTAACTCTCTCCTTAAGACTGTGGCTCAAGAGTCCTTGACCGCAAAAGCGGGATTACTGTATATTCAGAGGCTTTTTTCCCTGCCTGCTCTTGTGAGAGGGCAGATGCCCTGCTGAAGGGCAGACCTTTGCCAAAGGTAGCACATACATGACATCTACCCCCACAGGTGTCAGCCTTAGATAACCATGAAGCACAAGTCTCTTCCTGCTTCAGTCTCGCTCCTGGCGGGAGGAAATGCAGAACAAATGCCGGCCAAAATCCACATCAGGTTCTCCTGCCCTTTGCTCCCCGGCTGCTGTAGCTGGCTGGTGCTGAGGAGAGGTCTGAGCTAAAGTTCTCCCACCTTCCTCTGCTTCTCCTGACCCCCTTGGTCTGTTGCCGTGGCAGCTTTTGAAGGGATGGAAATGCTGCAGTAGGGTGGTTGTCTTTCACAGGAAAGTCTTAAGCTGGAAGCTAGTGTAGCGCTAGGTAGAAATATCCTTTTCCTATGCTCAGCTCAGCACTTAAAAGGATCATGAGAAAAGGTCTGACAAAATCGTTTTGATGATGTCTCACAAAACGCACGGACCTTCCCTGTAGCCCTTGGATTTGCTGGAGTAACATAAATTGGAATTCTGCAAAGGATTAACAGTCAGAGAGCATTAGGACTCAATTTGATTCTTAGTCTTAAACATAGCCTTTCTTAGACTGCTGACCTACATATAACTTTTGCTATAACTGCTTCATTGTGCACAGGCTTTGTTTCTGGATCCAAGGTGGTATAGGTATATTTCCTGAGAAATTTCCTTTGAGATTGCATACAGATTTACTAAAATTCTCGATTGCTACGGATGCGCTTGAAGCTTGTGCCACTTGACTGGCAACTTGTCTATTAAGTGTCGGTTTAAGTGATTCCTTTGAGTGTTCTTTTAGTCAGAAATGGGCTGATTATATTGATTACAAAACTAGAAAATGAAAGGAGACACT